ATATCCAGTTTTCACTGAGTACTCCAGGTTCCAGACATACATGTTAGGTCCGGTTTATTGATGAATCCTGTTGGTCAGAATGTAAATTGTTGTATGCCTGACTCTGGGTCATATAGTATATTGCCGACTCATCCAGGGTATACCCAGCCTCTTGTTCTTTGAGAAATAAGATAGACCCAGGGATCTTAAGTTAATCGAATAAACAGTTAAGAAAGTAGGTGGATGGAAAAGGATGATTGACCAACCAGATCAATCTAAAAAAAAACCAAAGCAACTTCCACATACCTCTGGTGCTTAGGATTGTAACCAGTTTAGGAATGTAACTGCCTTTGTTTTTTTTGTTTTTTTTTTAATTTGAATGAACTAACAGGATTGCTTTGTCAAAAGTTGTCATTTTTGTTGTACAAAAACGCAAACAAAACACAACAAAAGGAAAACGGGCTGTGGAAGTAACGGTTCTGTTTGTTTGTCTCAGACGCTAAAACATTAACAGTTTAACAGGAAGTGTTGTGTCCACAGACACACTGAGTCACACAAAGAAACCTTTATGATGAGCAGAGGACGACAGAGGACTCACTGTTGAAATGAAGAGGCATTTCTGTCCCCACTCTAGTTCTTCTGCCTCAACATTTATGTGACCTCCGAAATGTGGAACAAATCTGAATAAAGGTCCCATACACCCACCAGCCACTTTATGCCCAACTGCTCTTTATAGCAAATACCTAATCGGCTAGTCACGTGGCAGAATCTCACTGCTTTAAAGAATGTAGACATGGTCAAGACTACTGCTGGAGATAAAGTGTAGCATTGGGAAAGGTAGTTGAAACAGCATGAGTGTCTTTTTCAGAAACTGCTCATCCACAAGGAATTGAATGCGTACTCACCGTTAGGCTTCACATATCTGACATGTATATCTATCTATAGATATCTACCTATCTCTCCATAATACAGTTACAGAAAGTCTTAAGAAACAATACAGACTGTAAAAAAACTGGGCATGTATGATAGATATCAATAGGCTCAACACAGTGCAACCTGGATGAACCTTAGATATTCCTTTTAATAATACAAGCATATGCATATAAGCATCTCTGTATACATTTTTGCTGTATCATTTAGATGACAGCGTCACAATTTGGTGTAAACAGTAAAGAATGGTACCTGTCATGATTGCATTAACATCTCATGCTGCTGTGGTTTTTAGCCTCATGGTGGCAGCTGAGCAAGATTTAGTCATCATAGCCTTTCACAGTGTTGTTGCTGACCATGTCTGTCCCTATATGACCACAGTGAACTCATCTCTTAATGGCGGCTTTGAACAGGATACCACAACACTCATATCATCTCAAGCTGGTTTCTTAAACATGAGTTCACCAGGGGCTTTTAATGTAATTTCTGTACTAAGAAACACTTGGTATAGAAACTGGTCCTGTTACACTGACTTGATGTGTTACGTTCACGTGTTTTCTATGGTGTTATTAAAATGTTCTGGAGTGGTCTTAAGGTTACGTAAGCTTCTTCATTGTCTAGTCATTCTGTCATCCCTGGTGAAATACACAAATAGTTGCCAGAGTTGGACAAGAGATGCCATCAAACTGCACTAATGGCAGTGCTATCCATCTTTCATACTGCGTCCTGGGTGGCCTAAAAGCAAAATGTGTAACCACAGAGAGATGGACACACACTGAGAACTTTATTTCCTACTTACTTTACAAAGGAAAGGAAAGGAAGCTATATCAGCAGGAGAGCTTTGTTTGTTGTTTGTTTTTTAACCTTGAATGAATAGGCCTACTGTAATTAGTGACCATTAGGCTACTGAATTAATTTCAGCTGATATTAAATCATAAAACTTGCCTGAATTGTGTGGGTTTTTCTCCTCACTTTTTTTTCTTTTTTGGGCCTGTAGTTCTAACTCTTTTAGTCTGGTTTTTGTGTGTAAATTGGCTCACCGTGGCGTCCCCACAGACCTCACCATTTTACTGACGAAAACAATCCCGGTGAAATAAAATAAAATATAAAAGTCTCTCCAAACTAGGGATGTCTTAACACCAGAAATTTTGTAGTCAGTATCAATTCCACCAGAATTACATGATCCTCAATCATGACACTCAAACTTGATACCAAAACAAAGTGATCATCCCACATACAAAACTCCTTTATTAAAAGCTTGTTTTAAAACATAGACGCAGTGGCAGATCTTTAATTACATTTTGTTGGAGAGGCTTTAATGGAAATGTTAGGATAGTTTGCTAATATTATAGTTGCATTACATTATCATAAGCATCTAATACTAGGCATTGCAAACATTTAGCCTATGGAGCAGAGTTGATTTCACAGCGGCAGTGCCAGCTGTCTCAAACAAAATGATAACATGTTTTTCAGGAAAACATATATATTGGATGTCGGTCTTTTAGGTGCTTTGCTAAATTGTAAGTATTTCCTCCCTTGATCCAAAATACACGATAAAATCATTTGCATATTTCCTTTTGCAAATCAGTTTCACCCCTTTGGTCATTCCCCCTAAAATGCAAATTACTTCCCTAGCCAGCTCAACCTTCCTTATCAATTTTATCAGTGTGTCGCAGCAGAGCTGTCGTGGCAGCTGCACCAATCACCATTTTCTACGTGTACTTTTTACTGTTCTTGTGGGGTATCTTTTTATTTTTCGTCAAGTAAAGTTGGACTACAACACTTGTAGCTGTACGCTGCCTGTTTCATTTCTAGAAGAACTGTCACCTCAGTACATTTGGTGCTATGGTAACAAAGAAAAACAAGTACCACTGCCTTTTCAGTATTTTGGCATCTATTGGTATTTATTCTAGTATTTATCCCTACTGCAAACATAGTGTTACATCAAGCCTAAATATACAATCAAACTAACAGATGCAAACACTTCTCTCTATTTCTGGTTTGGAGATTGTAATGGATGTGTTCATATATGATGTCTTGATTCATAACATGAAAAAAATCACAGCTCTGGGCTTTCACCCACTCAGATCATTGTTCTTTAAAGTGGGAGCAAAATGGGGAATACCTTTTATAAATGATATAAAGATGGAGAAAGAGACTGAGAGAGCTAACCTCCTGATGTGCACACAAGCTCATTATCAAATGTGTATTAGTCAGTGTGTTTAAATGTGTCCTGGCTGTGTTTGCATTTGTCATGCTTTTGTGGGCATTTCAGCATGAAGCTAACATTGTAACATCATATAAACCCAAACTGGTTATTAAAGGAGGTGGTGTCTTTCTTACATAATTTTTTAACAAAATGAGACACACACCTATTATTTCAACACACATTACACCACTCGTCATAAGATTTTAATCCGATTGATTTCCAAATAGCCTCTAATGAAGCAACAACCTCACACAAACTGCTACAATGTTCAAGAGCTTCAGTTCAGCTCCTGTTTTTGTGTTTTACAGATCATGCAGGCTACGGGCAACAACTCATTTACTCATCTCAGAATTTTTTTCTACTACAGTTTTACTCTATTCACCATTTTTATTTTATTTAGCTTTTGTATGTTTCAAGCTCTTTACTAGACTTTTTAAACTTCATTTAGCTTTTTTTATGACATGTTCGATTTTGTTGATAATTTTCATTGATTAGTTTTTGTCTGTTGTCATGACTGCAACTTAATGAGCAAATTCAGCTCTACTGGCGAAACATAAATACACTTAATACCGCTTGTCAAAGTCCTTCTATGTCTTCACTACGTATGTTAATATAAATCTGGACAATTAGACATAAATTGCTGCTGCAAGGGTTGCCAGACACTCAAAATCATGATGTGGAAATTCTGTTTAGTTCCATGTAGAGATATCATTTAGATCAGCCGAGCTCAGAAACCTTTAGATTTTTGGAGCCCTTACGTTGTTTTGAAGTATAGAAAGTTTAAGGTGGTGTGTTATACAAACACCTGACAGATATCCTGTCATCTGCTCATAATGATCTAGGTTATGATCTAGATTTCCTTCACTGGTTTTTCAGCAGCAGCAGCAAAAAGCTTTAAAAAAAATAAATAAATAAGAGTCGCCACATTGATGATAGTCATCTGGGTAAAATCGCAGTGATAAGAGCTCCTTTTAAACTGACAGAGGTGTTGACTCTGTCTTATGTTTGGCCTTTCAGCAGCTCCTTTGATGTCTTTCACAAATATACAGTCAGCAAATACCAACAAAATCCAACCAAATCTCTCTAATAATGTGGATTACATGTCAATTTATTTAATTCATGCTAAGAGCATGCATAGCAACAGGTGTGCGTATTGATGAACACAGATTTTTTGCATTACTGGCAAATCCTGGTTTTCCTTAATGATCAGCCTCTGAACAAAAATGTTTGAAGACCACAGAGCTGGACTAGCTAGTTAGCTAAGATGGGTTTTTCCTGACTCGGACAGGAAACTTAAGCGTGGGGGTGGACTCCATCCGTAACAATGATCAGTCCCAGGCAGTAAAGCCACTGACTGTGCTTCTCACACAAAGTACTATTTCTCAGATTAAAAAAATAAATTAATAAATGCTTGGGTGAAGATATCTTTACTGTTTTTATTAAAAACTGTAAAAACATGTTGTTCTGTGTTATTTTAATTCATTTTCCGTCAGGTCTGGTTGAAGCTTTTTGTTTTTATGTGGATTAAAAAAAAAGGAAAAGAATTCCTTGGTGCAGGAATCATGTCCTGACAGGAAGATTGCTCTTCTCCTCTTGTGTTTTTTGATCAGCAGTGTTGGACCCTTAAAAAAACAACACTAACACTTGTTAGGAATTATAGATCAATAGAGCCGTGACTGATAACTCCTGTGGTTCTCTGTATCCATTTGTACAGTTAATCTCATAGAAAACAACTATATAAGCTATATACCGTAATGCCAAATACCGGAATGTAATTTATTTACATTTTATTATTAAATTTTGTGAGCACTTTAAAATTAACTCTATTCTGATTTTTTTTCTTTTTTCTTTTTAAAAATAAGTTATTTTCTGATTGTTCCAGGTGCCACCAAGGAGATAGGCTCAGCGCTAACCAGGATGTGTATGAGACACCGGAGCATCGAGTCCAAACTTAAGCTGTTTACCACGTAAGACACTAATTCTCACCCTCCACTCACACACAGCTTTGAATATAATCTTTATGTAGGAAGGAGGTAAGGCAGGTGAAGGTTTGAATGATGGTGCGGTGACACCATTTATCAGGCAGTGTGGGAATTGGGTAATTATTTCCAACAGACATATGTTAACACCAACTGTGTGTGTGTGTGTGTGTGTGTGTGTGTGTGTGTGTGTGTGTGTGTGTGTGTGTGTGTGAGGGAGTGTGAGAAAGCTGGACTTGTATGCTATCCTGATTTCACCCATTATCACTGTCACTGCAACATTACAGCTGTCCTGTCATTACTGTCTGCTGTCATTAGCAGAGGTGTCAGTCAGTGACGCATATATTGTGTCTCATGCGGATCACGGCACATGCACTCAGAAGCCACATTATTAGGTGTACCTGTGCTGCCTGTCTGGAGTCCCCTACAAGTTTTGTTCTTCCATCTTCTTTCATCTATATAAATGAGAATGTTAAAGAAAACATCTTATTTAAAGGTAGCAGATATCTGCTATAACAGCTGCATTATTAAATTGTAAAGTTGTCTCTTTCCAGCCTGCTGAGGTAATGCTCAGGTTAAATTATTCTGTCCCTTACTGAGTAATAAAGTTGTGCTTTTACAGCCTTATTTAATATTTAACTCAGCAGCTTCATAGTAAAGACACAGCAGCAGCACATAATTTAGCATCAAGTGCACGCAGGCACAGATTCCCAGTTCAGTTATTTGAACCACTCATTTGAAGAAAAAGAAGTCTAGATTAAAGTTACTATTCAGATTGTTTGTTGTAAACTGCTTTTGTAGGGTGTGGCCAGTTTGTTTAAATTATGAAAAACAGTACAATGGAAGCACCTAACACATATACCAAAACACATTTGGGCTCTCATTCACTAAATATGGGGCCGTATTGTAAAAACCTTGGTGTCATTTTTGATCACTTCAGTCACAAAAAGCTTGTCAGCTCAGATGTTCAGTCATGTTTTAGGCAGCTCCGGAGACTCAGTAAGGTCAGCTCAGTTTTATACAAAAAGGAAATCTAGAGATGGTCATGGATGCTTTTATTTCCTCTTTTATTTTGAAAGCTGTTATACATGTAAGTCTACATAAAGTACAGCTTATTCCTATCATTCTTATTACCATGTAATTTTAGAATTGATTTTAAGGTTTTAATTGATGACTTGTTGCCAGTCTTACTCAATAAAATGTGTGAACCATGAGTAAATAAAGAGTAAATCAATAAAGATCGATACAATTTCATCACAAAGACGTTTGGTGCAGTTTCTCTCCTCCAGATATCCACAGTAACATGAGCGTATAAAAGCATTGAATTCTCACACTGAGTTTGTGAATGCGATAACTCAAGAACAAGATGATATGGGCGCTTCAAATTGATACCATGGGTGCATCTACTAAACATTTTGGATCTCAGTGACTTCTGACCTCTGGTTAGAGGTTACGTTTTCTGAAAACCTTATGAATGCGCTAACTCAAGAACAAGATGATGTAGGATTTTAAAATTGATACCATAGGTGTATCTACTAGGAGGCTGAGTAGTAGAACCTACAATTGCTGGTATTTTTAAAATTGATAGAGCACTGGTCAACATGTAATTAAAGTTTTGTTTACTATTCCTTTAGTTACTGTAAACTGATGGACAAAAGTCAATTTATAAGTATCTTGATTCATTCTCAATCATCCAGGAAAGTAAATCTCCAAAAGTTGATTCTGTTCATCTGGACGTAGCGTTTTGTGGAAGAAACGTTTCGTCACTCATCCAAGTGACTTCTTCAGTCTCAGCTGACTGCAGGTTTCCCCAAATCTTATAAACAGTACATTTGCATAATGACTGAAAACAGCCCACTGAAGGAACAATGGGCTGGGAGGTCAGTTCCTTAATCATAATTATGCAAATTCTCATGACCATTGATCAACAACCACTGACCAAAACCCACTGATCAATGACCATGAGTACCATTCACAGGTAGTTGGGGAATGGCTGCAATCACAGCATTGTAAGATGGCGAAAGATGTACCCTTAGGCCCTTATTGGAACTTCACTAAAGTGCTCTTTTGATTTACAGTGTTAATTATTTTAAAAAAAATGTTTCGGCACAGTGTTTTATAAAGTGAGTCTATATCTCTTTTTGCCCTCAGGTCCCTCTCAGAAGGTCTCATCACACCTCTTGAGTTGAAAATGGAGGAGTGGAAAAAAGTGGCCAGTCAGCTGGATAAAGACCACGCCAAAGGTATGTCAACAGGCTAGCACGCACTCACAGACACTTAGGCAAAGACAAAAGCTTCCTCACTTTCTGCTTTTTCCTGTGGTTCAGAGTACAAGAAGGCCAGAGCAGACATCAAGAAGAAATCTTCAGACACCATCAAACTGCAGAAGAAGGTGAAGAAAGGTAAGAATCACCACCTTCATTTCACCTCCAGCAGGTTTTCAGCTGCACTCAGACAACAGAAAACAAGAAAAGGACAAAACAGTTTTTTCCCCATGTGTATATACAAGTTGTAAAACATGGAGATATTACAGCTTATTCATAGAAGGCTCCACCTTCTATATATGTAAGCCATCTTCCACAGTGAGCTAATCTCTGTAGTAACAACATGAATGTTTTCGATCCTGCCTTCATTGTGTTAACATGAGTGTTTTCAGCTCTCTGACGGATTATTTCATGGCCATCCTTCTGTCATCTGTGCCCCAAGAAAAACCCAATCTTAAAACATATTTATGTATTAAAAGAACAACTATGCACCACTTTGGTTTTAAGTATATAAAAAAATTAGCTCTTTCAAAGTTTTGACATTTTAACTCAAATACTGTCTCACCCCGCAAATATCAATAGTAAACAGTCACCCTTGCTTATTTCTTTGTACTAATTTGGAGCATCTGGAGAAATAGTGGTCTCAAAAACTCATCTATCAAATGTGATACACCTAACTTTATTGGGTTTAGAAATAATCTGTAGTACTAAAACTGCACTGTTAGTTTTGCACTAGAAATTCTCATTGACCTGGCCTGTATGGTGATGGAACTTGTTGTTCCTTAAATTGTGTTCGGACTTTGGGGTAAATAATGACTTGTTGACATGGGGCTTGTTGTTGCTACCTTGCGACTGTTTGATCTTATCTCAGGGTGTATCTCCTTCGGGCTTGTTAATCTTGTTTGGTCTTGTTGGTCTTGACTTTAGAATTACGTGGATTTGTTTCCACTTACTTTGTGCTTCTTGGACTGCTTGTGTTTGATTTGGGGCTTGCTGCAATTACCTTACGACAGTAAGGTAATTGCCACTTTTAGCACAGTCAATATGAGATTAAATGTCTTCCCTACCCAAAATGGAGGGGTATAGTCAGCTATTGTGCTTATAGTAATTTTGTAATTGATCATTATTTTAAATCTGCCAATATTTTTTCACTGAATAAATACTGTGAGAGCAGCCTCTGTACAGTGAGGCCTGAGGTCAGACTCCAGGCTTGTCAGTTGGACTTGTGCCAGAAACCAGGCATACTGGCAGGCAGATACCTGTGCCACTCCCTCCCCTGTTATCAAAGTAACACACCCTGCAGTTGCAATGGTTGCAGCTAGCCTTGACATCCCATTACCAAACAAACTGAAAGCTTGCTAGGAAGGACTGCAGAAGGCCTTGTATGCTAGAAAGAAAGAAATTTAAAAAACAAAACAAAACAGAAATGCCACAAATGCACACGCTTGCATTCATAAACATACATGCATACACGAAGATTGAAATGCAACCTCAAGGCCTCTATACAAATATCTTCTCTGTCCTGTGGCTCTACAAAATCCAATGGGCAAATGCAAAGATAGAAAAATAGTTTGAGCACACATCACAAGTGCAGACCCGTCCAGGGTAAACAGTGATGCCTGTGAATTTAACATCCCTGAACACGTTTCTGCTACTCCTATTCCTTTTTGGTCCTTAATTCTGTTTTCTGTCTTTTTTCTGCAACATTCCCTTTATTCTGACTTCTGAGCTCAAAATGACTGACCACATTAGTTTCAGGCAGTCTAAAAGATCAGTAGAAAGTCAGAGCATTTGAAGAAAAGTTTGGGTTAATTACAGCTTGGGTCTATGGTTTCAGCTGTGCTTTCTACTTGTAATGATAACGCTGTGCTGAATATGTAAAGTTACAGATCTCACGTATCCGCCCTGAGCTGGTGCTGTTATGCGGGAAATTTTTATCTAAAGCTAAAAAGCTTTAATCAAGTTGATGCTAAAAATGTAGCTTCTCTGAATGTAGGTCAGTTTGAAAGTGACAAGCATATAGACAAGGCTGGCAGTGTTTCTAATCATCCCATGTTTTACTGTAACACTGAAAGTATTATAAAGTTCTCTTTGAAATAAGCTTGTCCAATGCAGTAATTGTTTATAGAAATGATGGACAAGGCTGCAAAAATTGAAATTGAGGTTTGAATGAACTGTACGCTCTCTATGAGAATTGCAAAGCTGTGAGAGACCATAAGTAAACAAGTAAGCAAAAGCAACTCAAAGACAGAGACTGAACCACAGCTTCACATGTTGTCACCACGTAATCACAGAGCACACACACACGCACATGAGAGCATTTTTTTTTTCCCTCCCCTGCACAATGCACCAAAACAGTCACCAATCAGGGCTTCACATTATAATTATCCTGCTGTACAGTGCTCTCTGTGTGTGTAGACACCATATAATAAGTAGGGACAGACTGAGAGACTAACTGCTGAGCCATTTGTTGGTACAAGGAGTCTTAAACAGAAATAAAGCCCACTGCGTTTTGTCATTTTATGGATTAGCTGTATTGAAGATGTTGTTTTTGTTCAATCTTGTTCCCAGTGAAGCTTTGCAGTATTGGATTTTTTCTGCACGATCATAGTCCAGACATTGATATTGTTGTATCATAGTTACACCTACATGAAACTATGTTGAACTCCTGTATTTTTAGCAGTTTTCCTCGCTGTGCAATCATCTTTTGCCTCCTCCTCCTCACAGGCTCATTTTTGTAGTCTGTTTTTGCTGATGTATGTTTGAATTAAAGGAAGACCTCATAACGGTAAACATCTGTTCCTTCACTAATCATCTCATCCCATATGATTCTCTGTGTGTGAATGTGTACAGTCTATCATTATGTGGTGCTTAACCACTTTCGGATAGGGAATCTACAACTGGTGTGCGTGCGTGCGTGTGGGAGAGAGGCAGATGATGGGAAGAGTATTGGGGAAACATAAATAAGACATAAAGGTGATTTTAAGTGTTTTAGAAAATTGATGTCATGTCTTTTATTGTCAACACTAGTTCATAGCTCGAGTTTTACTTGTTTTCACATTTTAAAAGTTGCACTACATGTCATCTACTACCTAAAAACATGTTCGGTTGAGTAGAGGTTAAGTTGTAGAAGTTGCAATGATTCACTGCATTACAAGTGTTTTCATTAGTAAACAGCACTTTCAAATTGCTGTTTTTCACGGGCGTTTGTTGGCAGCGCAGAAGATGTCGAGGAAATGTCAGATATTGCCATGAAATTTGAATTTCTGGTAATTTTCCAAGCACAAGAAGGTCACTGCCTCAGCCCCTTAGGCCTAGAGGAGGTTTTTACATGTAAATAGCCATTCTGTGAGCTATACAGATGCAAATCAGGATAGTAGAAGTTACTTCAGTTTCTAAAAGGTAGTCTCATCTTTTATTTCTGTACCATTTATTTTCCATAATGCATTGTAATCAGTGATTGTTAACTAGACTTTAATAGTTAATTTTAGGAAATTGTTATGTTATTTTATTATTGGTTCAACGTTCTGCCCTCTAACGTTTGCCTCTGCCACCTCACCAGCCTTATATTTATACATTTTATACTTGCTTTTTGTTTATGCTTTCTTTAACACGAGAAATATAAACTTAATTTATAACAAAATGTAGATACAGAAGAGGGTACATGGCAAGGAAATGAAGAGAGATTAAACAAATCTTGCGTGGTTGATAAACTTAAACATCCTTGTGTTGCTCTGGTAATAGAGGAGGAGGAAGAGGATGTGAGTGATGGGTTAAAGTCATCATCTCTATGACTCAGCTGTGTTTACTGTATTTAAAAAAAGATGGATAATGGAAAAATGCATTAAGAGGAGAAGTAGAGAGATTTGTAAAGAGAAGACAGTTGAGACAGAAAATGTGACGTGTAAACTCTGGAAATGGAATAAAAATAAAAGATAAAAGGTGGAAAAAGGGCAGCACGGTGGCACGGTGGTTGGCACCGTTGCCGCACAGCAAGAAGGTCCTGAGTTCAATTCCACCATCAGGCCGGGGTCTTTCTGTGTGGAGTTTGCATGTTCTCCCCGTGTTTGCGTGGGTTCCCTCCGGGTACTCCGGCTTCCTCCCACCGTCCAAAGACATGCAGCTTGTGGGGATAGGTTAATTGGATAATCCAAATTGCCACTAGGTGTGAATGTGTGAATGAATGTGAGTGCGAATGGTTGTCTGTCCCTGTGTGTTGGCTCTGTGACAGACTGGCGACCTGTCCAGAGCGTACCCCGCCTCTCGCCCTATGACAGCTGGGATAGGCTCCAGCGCCCCCCGCGACCCTGAAAAGGATAAGCAGAAGCGAATGGATGGATGGATGGATGGAGGTGGAAAGAATAACTGATGCCATCAGACGCTGGGGATGACGACGTTCATAGTGAGGAGCAGGAGGAGGAAGCGGTATTGTTGCTTTGCTCTAAAAGGCAAGAAAGAGTTAAAAAAAAATCCAGAGTGTAAGAGAATCGAGCGAAGCTTCATGGCTGAAGATGTCGAAGAAGTGAAGAGAAGTATTTGATGGTGGAAAATAGTGAGGACAAAGGAAGAATATAATAAAGATGAGAGGTTGATAGAGCTGGAAAGCAGAGTAAGGTAAAAGGACAGCAAGAACAATGAGGTAAAAAGGAGGCGAGTTGATTTAAGAGATTAAGAGCAGGGAGGTTAAAGGACGTTAAATGTCCTCATTTGAATATCCAGACAGTTTTTGCATACAGTTTGTGCTGGTTTCAACCTGCCTTGGAGAGTGCTGCAGAAACCTTTGACATCACCTAAAACTGCCTAACCACCTGTCTCACACCAAAGACATCATCAGCATGTGACGCAGATGGTCTAGACTGTTTAATGAGTAAGCTTTTAAAAGCAGCTGGACATCAGCATCAAAATTAGTCATTGTGCTTCAAAATTATTTTGCAGGCATCATTTGGCATTACAAGCTGTTGAAATTGAACAGTCTTCATAAAACTAAATACTTGCCCTCTATATTTTTTTTATTTTACCTTTGTGTGCAGAGAAAGTCATTTTGGTTATTCCCCGGGCCCTTTTTTTTTTTATTTTTTAAAAAGCATGGATGTTTTTACACTAGTTTTAGTTCTAGTTAGCTATAATAACCTTGCACT